GGAGTGCGGGGGAGGCCGTGTTAAGGACCCGTGCAGAGGGGTGGGCACCCTCTGAGGCTAGAGTAACAGGCAGTTGTGAGCAGCCTGTGTGGGTTCTCTGCAAGGACATCATGGGGTTTTGACCATTGAGACATCACTTCAGTCTCCTGCCCCCTTGAAAAAAAATTTGTATCATGGCCTCTTCCATCAAGAGATCTATTAACAGATTCTTCAACCATTCCAGGCTTAGGCCTTGCCCTTAGGGTCATGGTGGTGACTGAGCACATTGGGTATGTTCCCATTGTCTCCCACAGGCACCGGGTAGTTTTAGTGTGTGGCCTGGTTGATCAAGAGGCATACTTGGTGTAATGGCTGACTGAGACATAATTATAGTCCCGACCATATTGGTCTTGGCAGAGTCGTGGGCATCAAGACAACTACCATTTAAGGTAAAATTGTGTCCAGATTTCCTTGTGTGGAGCCTCTCAGCTTAGAGAAGTATTTAGACTTATCTTAGGTCCTGGCACAGAAGAGCAATGCACAACCTACCTCCACCCCTGCTGCAGCCAGGAGCCACCTGATGCACTCCATCCTGCCCCGGCCATTGAAGTAGTGAAGCACGGGCTTCCCAGCCATGGCTGCAGCTGTGGTTTCACTGTGAATGGAAAAGCAAAGAGATCAATCCTGCCAAACCCTTGTTCTCCCCACAGGAGAAGGGCCCATCTCTTGGTTGCAGGTCTGTTTCCCACTGCTAGACTGGATCCTGTTCTAGGGTCCAGAAGGTGGTAGTTGATACATCAACTTCATATCACAGGGAGTCACTGCCTTTGGTGCACAGCACATAACGGGCAGTTGCTCATGTGAACTGCATGTAATCACCACAGAGTTTGCAGGTGAGGAGCTGCCACTGTTTCCAGTTTTCGGGACAGATAGATGTCCAAACAGTCACGTGAGGAGGAAACCTTAGTGAGTACAGCTCAGTTCCTGCAGAAGGAAACCACATACTGGGTCCTGCTGCTCAGCGGGCCGGAAATCAACATCATGGGACATGGGTAGTGTCTTCAATTTGTGATAAAATTTGACATTTCAGAGTCTGCATTTTAAAATGGACTCTGCGTGTGTGTGTGTGTGTGTGTGTGTGTGTGTGTGTGTGTGTGTGTAAGTGCCCAAGGCTGAAGTGACTATGTAGGCTAGAAGAAGCACGGCCTCCCTGCCCTCAGGTCACAGCTGCTTCTCTTGGGCACCTGACAGTTTCCTACAGCACTGTATAATGCTCTGTTCTTTTTGTCTTTCTGTTGGCTTTTCTCTGTTTTCTCCGTGAACTCTACTTTGGCCTGGAAAGTTCAATACTGGGGATTCAGAGGGACTCTGAAATGCTGAGGCTTTCAGATCCCTCCCCATACTACAGAACCTCTAACCTCCCGGTTTTAGAGCTGCACACTGTTTCAGAATCGGCTGGTCTTCTCCAGATTAGTGATGAACGCTTTGAACCTTAGCATAGGGTTGGCCGCATAACAGCTGAGCGTCAGAGTTTGGGTTTAACCTCGTTCCTCTACAGACTCATTTCTTCCTGCCATGTCTTCCTACAGAATTTTAAACTGTTTTCTGTTCTGGCATGCATTTCCTCACACACAGCTGTGTACACAGGACATCAGAGGACAGCCTTGTGCTTGGTGTAAGATTCAGCCCACAGTCCTCAGATGTCTCAACGTTCACTAGTTCAAGTTTCACACTTTCTTTTTCATTCTCTTTCTTGGGATTACCATCTAAAAACAGGTTGTTTGTGTCTAATTTTATAATAAGATTGTACTAATGTAACAAATCCTAAGTATGAAACCTGCTAGTCTGCTGTTTAAACAGATTCATCAAAGCGATCAGAATCCACATGACAAACAAATGTGGTAGAAATCCAAACTGGGGAAGGGCTTTGGGAGAGTCTGGGTGAATCGAAGTTCTCAAGTGAGAGGAATCTGCACGTTTTCTGTGAGACTGGAACACAGTTCAAGAGAAGAACGTTATTGATCTCAGGTTTGCCTGAGAGCACAATCCAGGTCTACTTCTCACTGTCCTAAATCCCACGCCTTTAGATTCCCTTGTAAATATTTTAAACCCCACCCTTAAGTTCGATGATGCTGGAGGAGGAAGTGGAGAAGGAAGGAAAGGACAGAAGAAGGGAAGAATGAAGACCAGGACAGAGGAAACAGGGAGAAATGAGGAAGAAGGAATGGAGGAGGGGAGGGAGGACAGAAAGAGAGTAGCAGGGGAGGAGAAATAGCTTGCTACTCAACATTCATTAACAAAATAATTCATACGAACCAGAATTAAACACAGGTAAAGTCAATGGTACTGAGCAATGAATATTATAAAGTATATGTTTGTGTGTATATATATATATACATAAATATATGTACATATATGGAAATTACATAATAAAACCAGCTCCTTTGTACAATTAATGCATGCTAAAGAGAACATTGAAAAGCTGTTTTCCACTGATGCAGACATGGAACTAGTTACACAGGTTATAAGAAAGAGAACTGACCTAGTGAAAGTCCAGACTTCTGCTCTGTTCAGCTCCTCAACTCCTGCTCCAGATGAGTGTGGAAGCTACTTTAATAAGGTGACCATTCTCACCAACGGGATGGGACCCCACTGCCACTTCTGTAGATTCACATAGAGTTCAAGATTCCAGAGTTTCATGATAGAGTAGAAAGCTGACAAATCATGGAGGGGCTCACAAGCCACCACCCTCTCCTGAAGATCTGGATCCTTGAGTGTTTTCATTGGTTTAATGCTCCTGTGTCTCTAAGTGACCTCTCATGCGTGTTCCTGTGAAGAACCCTAATGAAGCACATTGCTCAGGACAGAAGAAACACAGGAGGGAGGACTGTGCTGGAAGCATGAATGGTGTCACAGAGTCAACCACGGAACCCTCAGCTATGATAAGTTGCGACTTATATCTACTGAATTTGGGGCAAAGTTTGTAAAGTAGCCTTAAATTACAAAAATAACACATTGTCTCAAACTCAAGGCTAAGTTGAAGTTCAGGTTACAATGTCCCCTGCTTACTGTAGCTGATAAGAATGCTAATGTCCTGCAATAGATTATTTGTCTCAACCTTTGTCCTGTTTTAATCAGGAACTGAAGGGCAGAAATAATTTCACAATTCACCCTTAACTTCACCTGGCTGACCATCAACACACTGTCCCAGCATGCTCTGGGTCTCTGTGCATCTGTGCATCCCTGCAGTTCCTGCTGTGGGGAAGCTGTCATGTCACCATTAGCAATGGCATTACAAGACAGTGAGAATTACGGTTACTTCCTGCCAAATTTAGACTCAGAGCTCTTATCCACATACAAGAGCATCTGTCACTGACTTCACTCACAGCCCTGCAAGTTCACTTGTGATTTTAATTATAATCAATGGTCCATAGGTCTAGGGTTATAAATCATTGCATGCTGACCTCGGTGGCTTCAGAGATGCATGTCACTACCCGAGTCTGCACACCCTCCAGTGCCCAGGGCTGGCCCCTTTGTATCCTGGTGTGCACTGCTAATTTCTCCTCAGCTGTAGAATCCACTCCACCGCTCTACAAACAGCTGGCAAAGCAGCAGTGCTGCCCTCCAGGGTGATGCGCATGTGCACAGCACAGGGTCTCATGATTTGTGATTAAAGCTATATATATAATATGTTTACCAAAGCTGGCTACCCGAAAATCCCAGGCACAGTCAGGTTGATTCTTTCATCTCTGTGCTGCTACAGGCAGGGTCAGCTGACACAGGCTGAGTAAACAGTAGGGAAGCAGCTTCAGGGCAGAGTCAAGAGTGTGATTCTCTTTTCTGTGAGGTCTGTCAAAAGTTCAGTCTTTCAAAGGTCAAGAAATGATTTCATAAAATTTAAGATCTGACCGGGTTGTAATCTGTTTTAGAGAAATTTCCTTGAACTGGAATGTATATTCTTTGGTGTGTGGTGGAATATTTTGTAGATTTCTGTTAAGTCCATTTGATGCAAATCATTTATTTCTGATTTTTCTGGTTTTGGTCAAGAAGACTTGTCTAGAGAGTACTAAATCCCCTATGAGTGCTGGATTGTAGTTACTCTGCATCTTTACTGTTTTTGTGAAAATTTGTCCATCAGAATTTGGGGATCACCACAACATGAGGAACTATAATAAAGGGTCACAGCATTGGGAAGATTGAGAACCACTTCTCTATGATCTTGTTGGAGTTCTTGTCCATGCCATTGACCTGGGATTCTTCTCTTTCACCTGTGCCCACAAATAACAGTTAGTATATTCATGGTGTCCCACATTTCCTGAATATCTCTTTATGTATTTTCTATTTCATATTCATTGTGTGATCTCTTCCCTCTACTTTATCTTTGAGGCCTGATAAAGTTTCTTCTACTTAACCTACTTTGTTTGTGAGACTTTCCCCTCAGTTTTACAATTGGATCATTAAGATTTTCAGTTCTGCCATCACTTCAGCTTGAACGCTCTTCAATATTCCTATCTCTCTTGTTTTAAATCTCATCTTTTAAATCCCGGGTTGTCTTCATTATTTCCATCATTCTTATGATTGTGTTTTCTTGGGCATCGCCCAAGCATTTATTCTCTTTAAATTTATTGAGTTGTTTCTTCTCTAAACACCACCAATTCTGTGGTGAAATCTGCAATTTCCGTATTAAGAATGTCTGTGATCTGGGGTTGATTCTCATTTTATAGGACTGGTGGGTTTGCATGGGGAAAATACTGCCTTGATCTTTCATATTGTTTATATGTTTTTTCATGAGACTGGGTGTATAGACTTCTTTTGTTGGTCCTGTGTCTGATATGGACATAGCAGGCTGCTACAAAGCACAGAATGTGTGGGAATGGCTCAGACTGGACATTAGATAGGCTGTAGGAGGGATGGATCAGGGGATAGTAGGTGTTTTGGTGTGAGGGTCTCTACAACCACCACAGCCAGCAGAGTAAGAACCCACAGGAGAGAAGAAGGGAGTCTGACCACGAGTAGTTTATTTTGGGCATACTTAAGCACAGCACAATTTGGTGAAAAAATTTCTAAAGATAAAACTTAATCCCTTAGGCACAGTAAAGCATAAAACAAGACCACACCAAGACTCTTTGTAAAGAACAAATGACATCTTCCCTAAACATGGGTTCTATAGATTGACAAGCTCATGACAAGGTCTGGTGTAGGATCTGTTGTGATCTTCAATACATAGTTCAATGGCCACCAGGCTGTTAATCACATATGTTCCCAGCCTCCTGGGTGGGAAACAGGTAATGCCTCCCTCTCTTTGAAGGGAAAACCCTGTGTATTTGGCATTCCTGGTTCCCTAGTGCTTATCTGTGAGCACAAGGGCCTCTGTGCCTCCCACAGCTGGGGAGGGGCTGACGTGTGTGCAGATGTGCATGCTGGCCTGAGCTGGAGGTTGATGGCAGTGGAAGTGGAGCTCACGAGAATACACCAGGGCAGTGGTGTGGAGCCCAGGCTAGACCTGAGGAAGGGGAGGGTATGCCGAGAGTAGGAACAGAAGGATTCACCAAGCTAGACCTGAATAGAAGATGTTCAGGACTGGACTGGGCCTGGATATTTGATATTGCATGGAAAAAGTAAAGTCAGGGGGTTTCAGTGGGGGCAAGGACAGAATATTCTTCTGTATTTTTTGAGAGAGGGCATCACAATTCTGTAGCTCTGGCTGTCCTGGAACTCATCATATAGACCAGGCTGGCCTCAAACTCACATAGGTCCATGTAGTTCTGCCTCATAAGAGCTGGGATTAAAGGCCTATATCATTCCACTTGACAAAAGACTGTTTTTTTTTTCAAGGAAATTTTCTGTTATTGTTATTTTGCTGGAATGTGTGTTTTCCCGTTCTTTTGCTTTTACCATTAAAATAACTTAAATTTTTGTTTTGTGTGTTGAGGTGTTTTGCCTACAGGTATGTATGTGTATCGTGGGTGTGCAGTGTCCTCAGAGGCCAGAGGAGAACATCAGGGTCTCTGGAGCTGGAGTGACAGATGGTAGTGAGATGTCCTGTAGATGCAGTGCCCTAACCTGGGTCCTCGGCAAGAGCAGCTGTGTCTGTCACCTCACAGCCAGCTCTCCAGATTCTTCCTCACTAATTTAAAATTTTAATTTTGTTTTCTCTGCTATTTTTTCTTACTTTAAAAAAATGAAAACACAACCTTTTCCTATTTACCCAATTCCTGTTTTCCTGACTTGCAGTCTCTCTTTTCTTCTTCCTTTCTTCCTTTCTTTCTTTAATTCCTTTCTTTCTTTCTTTTTTTCTTTCTTTTTTTCTTTCTTTCTTTTTTCTTCCTTATTTTTGAACCTTAAATTTTTCTTCTTTATTTTTCCCATTTTTTCTTTTAATTTCTTGATTTTGCACATTAATTTTACTTATAAACTCAATGTTGTTAGTCAATTGTTTCCTTTCATTAGGGTTCTTCTTCTTTACTTTTTCCTCATTTTTACAAGCTTTGTTTGTATTTGTAGGGATTACTGTTTGCCTTCTTCTTCCTCAATAATGTCTGTAATCCCAGTTTAACAGGATGAAGATGAGAGATACACATACCATTTGTTGATAATTATTATATCACAAGAACCAGGATTCTTTATTATTTAATAACATCAGTGACTGGTGTCTGTGGATTCTAACAATCCAGCTTTACTAAAACTTGAAAATCTTCCTTGCCTCTTCGATTTGCTTTGCATCAACGGGAGGTTTTCTCTGGCTGCCAGGCTGCAGGAACTTCTTCACATTGGGCAGGCTGCTGATTCTGCTCTTCAGGGCCTGTAATCCAGAAAACACAACCCTGAGAGTCAGAACTGGTTAAGTACACAGTCCAAAACACATGAGCCCCCTAATCACAACCAATTGCATTTTGGCAACAGGTCCAGAATAGAAGTGAGAAGAATGAAAAATCCATGAGCTAGAAAGCATAGCTCAGCATAATTTCCTTAAGAACTCCTTTGACCTCCAATTGCCTTCTCCTCGGGTCCCTGGACACAGCCTGTACAGAGTGTGGTACAGAGCACAGAGCACTGTGTCTCTGGGGTGTGAAAGCAGAGATACCAAAGAAAAGTGAAGTCGTGAAAAACCGAGTTCGAAATGGGGGCAGAAAACTTCAAAGTCCGACCAGGAATAACTCACAGTCAGTTTTCACACTGGAGATAAGGATGAGGTCATGGGGGGGGGGGGGTCAAGGTAGGAGATGGCATGGTGGGGACCATGGAGAGAGAAGCACAGTGTTGAAGAATCAGAGCAGAGGAAGGGGTCAGCATGACAGAGACCTACTCCCACACTATGTGTGCAGAGACAGGCCACATGAGATGGAAGATGAAGGCCAGAAGCAGCCTGCAAGGAACAGGGGTTCAAGGAGAGAGCTGTGGGGTCCTGTGTCTTTAACAATGCAAAAAATATATTCTTGGGGTACTAGTCTCAAATCTCGATTTTGAAAAGTTTATTTTCATGCCTGAAACCAGTGTCTACTAGCTCAATATGGAGGCCCAAGTGTGGGCCCTCATCAGCCAACAGGCCACCATTATATTCTCAGAGATATGCGTGTGCGGCTGCCTCTCTGAGGTGATCTCACCTTCAGCAGGGGGAAAGGGGCCAGAAGGCTGGAGTCAAGCTCTTCAACATAGAGGAGAACTTCCAGAAGGTGAATGTCCACCCTGGTCAGCCTGTTGCCAACAAGGTAGTCTTGTCCGTGGCTCTTCAAGACCTGCCAAATTAAAGGAGACAGATTATGAAAATACACAGTTGGGCTGGGGCCACTCCCCTTTCCCAAGTCTCCCAATGGAGTCTCTGACTCTTCCTGGCAGGTTACAACTGCAGACACAGGCCTATGAAGCAAGAGGCAGCATGAGAATCAGGCACGCGACCTCCTCGCTAAAGCTCAGGTGACCTTTCTCTGTCATTGCACTTCCCATGACCTTCACACGGCCACCCTATGTACATTTTCCACATGGGATAAGGGCTTAGCTCCTTACACATCATGGCTCCTCCCCTAAGTTTGAAATGACAGCACACCGGGAGTTCAGGACATTCCTCTTCCTGTCCTGTCTGTTCAGTCCCGTGGGCAGAGGCCTCATCTGCAGGGAACATCAGTCACCAGAGAACGCCCTGTGTCTGTCCTCTCCTGTGTCTGCTCTCCTCAGTTCTCTGGAATCTGAAATACACCTGGCTGAGCTACAATACATCCTCCCTGTACAGCATCGGCTCTGACTCCCAACCTTCACTCCGTCATGACTGACGGGGCTGAATTGTACAGGGGAAACTGAGTCGGAGTCTCAGTATCTTTGTAAGGACAGACGAGCATGCCAACACCAAATGGGACTAATCTTCCTATCTGATTTTGGCTATTTATTTAACATTTCTGGTTGTGAGAAGATTTAATAATAGCACTGTCTCAGATACAGTTGGTGACATTTACTTAAATATCCCAGCAATATGAAAATCACAGATAACCTAAAGGACAAGCACTGGCTACAGCATGAGCTACAAGTAGAGAAGAATTAAACTGCTTTGTGGTCACCTTATTACACTGTACACGTTTACAGAGAAAAAAAAATAATGACCACAGTCAGAAACAAAGAAAGCCAAGCATGGTGGCACACATATTTAATTCAAGCACTCAAAATGCTGAGGCAGGTAGATCTCTGGGAGCTTGAGGCCAGTCCACAGAGAGAGTTCCAGGAGAGCTAGAACTATAACATCCAGAAATCCTGTAGTAAAGAAAAAGAAGAAAAAAAGGAAGGAAAGAAGAAAACCTAAAACTACAAAAGGAAGCATCAAAAGTTCTCAGTACAGAGCTCACTATGTGTGAGTTCATGAATCACGCACCAGAGATGATTCAAGCTGTGATGGCTGGACATTGTGTCCTATGAGACAGGGCCATGACTCCACAAGGCTGCGTGGGGACCTGATGGCCCCTCAATCCCTCACTGCTTCCACAGAGCATAGGCAGCCGTGAGGGAACTTTCAATGAATTATAAATGGGGTCAAAGTCGGGTCTCTGAGGAATGTGTAGGATCCCTAATGCTGTAGGATTGGTCCTTTGTTCTTAGCTTTACTTGACAGAAGATCAAGTCAGTCTGACTTGTTTTTGTTCTTCCTCCAAAGAGAAGCCCTAACTAAGAGAGACACTGTGTGTACACGGACACCCCTTTATGTGTGGAAGTGCATGGATTTCCTCTCAAGCCTACTATCTGTGACCCTAACTCCTGCAGCCCAGTGTTCCTTTACATCTCTTCATCAGCCTTCTCCTCTCCCCTGCATCACTGTCCTAGGTCATGTTCTTCTCCTCTGTCTTTGAAGCTCTGTCCACTTCTTCTGACAGACAGTGGCTCTCTGGCCTCCATGTGTGATGTGACAGAATATTTTCCCATCTGTGGTTTTCTGCAGTTTGCCCTGTTATGAAGCCCAGTGTGTCTGCAGGATCTAGGTCCATCTCTGGTGTGGTTCAGCCTTCCATAGATCAGGTCTGGTTATGGCCTTGAACCCTGTTGAATGTGGACCACTAGATTGGCGTGACTATGCGATGCTCCTTCACAGGCCATTTTTATACAGCGACCTGTGGACAGGGAGCTGCACAAGGGGACTCATAGAAGGTCAGTGCAGCAGTACCCTATCCCTTCCAACCTCTGCCTTTCGCTTGTCCTGGGAAGGCAGTGTCCTGAGACTTCAAACGGCCTACTTACTTTTTCAAAGGCAGGCAAGTACCGGTTTTTAGTCTTGTCTTTTACCAAGGAAATCTTGGCTTCTCTTTGGTCCTGGGGACATATGACCAATTGGGTTATCATTTCAGTCAGATCTACAATCCCCTCTGTGTACATGTCGATCCTGAAAGACAAAATTATCCGTATGGTCAATGGCTTAAAGGATTCACTATTTTATATTTTAATCTAAAACTCTGAGAAATTTACACTGAAAAGTAGTTCCAAAGTTACTCACCTTTAATCAGTTATTATCTTTTCTATTAATAGATATATTAATATTCCCTCTAGTACAGTTCTGATACACTTTTAGAATTTGTCAAACCCACACATGGTCCAACCCAAGGACAAAGGGTATCACTGGCCCATCTAGAGATGCAGTCATGATATACTTGGTACCATCCCAGAAGATAACCATCAAACTCTAAAACTCTACAGACCGCTCTCACTCTCTCTCTCTCTTTCTCTCTCTGACATGATTTGTTCTCACCGACTATGCAGAGACTCTCAGAGCTAACAAGCTATCTCCCACATAAGCTCAAAACAGAGCCCTGTCTGAGCCCCAGCTGCGTCTCTGTGCATCTCTCATTCTGCTCAGGGGCATCTAGGTCAGTGTTGGATGTTCTCCACCCGATTCTCATAACAGCTCAATCTCCAGGTGCATTCTGGCCATGGTCACATTTGTCAAGACGTGACTATTTCTGCACCCATTTCAACCACAGCACACACAGACACATGCATCCCTTGTTCTAAACTGTATTTCACAAGGTGCTTTGGGGAGAGTTTCCCTGTCACACTTCCACACACTTCTGGTTGTGGCTGTGCAAAGGTAGTATTCTGTGTTCCAATGCATCTCTTTCATTCTAAGACTGCTGACACCCTCCGATGTTAGCAGAGTCTAATTCTCACTCCCTCTGACCCCAATCCTGCCACTGTGGCAGGTGATGCAGGAGGACTGATTGCTTCCTTTTTATCCATGAGGAGTCGGAAACATTTCATATGATCAGAGCCAGGAATATGTGCCCTGGAGTCAGCTCACTGAACATCATACAACATTCATGTCTTTATCATTGTTTTGCTTCCCTCACCCCTTCATGTATGTTCATGGCTAAAATCATATACTGTGCTCCTCTTTCATCTTGTACTGAATATCATGGCTGATTCTTCCATGAGAAAATTATGAATAATGCTGCTATAAGTATTTCTATACAAGCATTGTTTCAACTTCATCTCTGTTTCCCATGGATAAATAATTCCCACAGAATAGATTATAGCTAGCACCACGTTTAGCTCTTTGATCAACTGCAATACTCCTACACGGTGGTTCATGAGTGAAGGATTTTGTCAAGCACAGTGGGTCCCAGCAGGATTGGTACAGTCCATAGAACTGTTTAGTCCTGAATTAAATGCTTCAGGTAAACCAAGTCCTTGGGAACCTAAGCATCGTTGAGTTGAGCAGTCCATAGAACTGGCTGGGAATTCAGATGCTTGCTCTGCACTGTTCCTATTCGTGGGATATGGAAGGCAAATCCTTTACCTTCTTCCCTAGGACTCCTCCTCCATCCTCAAGCCCTGGTTCCTTTGCCCTAAGCTGTTGGCTGAGGTCCAGCACTGAAGACTTGAGCACCTGGATTCATGGCTTCCTCATGCTCAGACCCTTGGCCACCGTGTGTGCGATTCTGTCCCTGTGCTGTGCTGACAACATCATCCTCGGCTGTAGCCACACTCACCTGCATCCACCCCATGTGCCCTTCCCCCTCCTCCATGGACTCTTCCATACTTGGCCTAAGGGAAACAACCAGCCTGCACCTAGAAATAAACCCTGCCACCCTCTTGCTCATTCATGGAGGGACAAAAATCCTTCCTTTGTTTCCCCTTGGAGTAATAACAGGAAATATACCATACAGGGCTCTCTCCTTCGCGTCCTTCCCATAGAGGTCGTATTTGGTGGCGATGTAGTTGAGAATGGCTCTGGTCTGTACCAGCTTCATCCCGTCAATCTCCACCATGGGCACTTGCTGAAACATCAAACTCCCATCTGTGAAAGAAGAAAGGAAAATGATTGTGAGGTGTCCAAGTCTCACTTCTCAGGAGCACAAAACATGTATTGAAGTTCTGAACACAGAGAGGGAAATAAGTGACTGGTTCTCAGACTTTCAAGCTGAACCCCATTTACTTTTAGCTTCCGTTTCCTCTCTGTCTCACCCACCTTCCTTTGGCTTTTGATCTTCTCACATCCATCTTTATTTCCTATCCAGACATATATTATATTTCTAGTGCACGTTTTCATGTCATTTCATGTCCCTGGATGCATATGGAAGATAAGGAGGAACAGCAGAGGGCCACCATGTATGCAGAACTAAGTAGGGTATTGGAAAACATAATCATGTTCATGACATTAAGGTGATGTGTGGCAGTTTCTTATGCAGTGAGCTACCATGAGTTCTACAGCCTGTTCTTGTGGAGTGATAGTTACTTGTCAGTAGCTATGATGAAAACACTCAAGAAATCATGCCAGCTGTTTTTCCTCCTGTGATTTAATCAATGGCCCAGTACCTGTGTAGTTATTGGACCTTGTGGGTGAAACCCTGCCAGAATAAGTCAGTGAGAGGGAGCTTGAATGAAATTGCTCACTCTGATGTGGAAAGAGTGAGAAAACATTTATTCCCAAGTCCTCAGACAAATTCTTATAGAAATCTGCATCCCACTTTTATCACTGTCTCCATTTTCAGATCCTTCAAGGAGCCCCACCACCTGGATCACAACCCTCTGCCATTCCTGACTGTTCCCACCCATCACCCGCCAACATCACCTTCTGGTAAACCTTCTAGTAGACACCACATAGCGATACTTGATGTTACCTTTGATTAACTTTTCTATGTCTGCCGGGGCTTCTATAAACTTCTCTTCAAACTGAAAACAGAAAAAAAATAAATGCATTCTCATTAGCTCGTTCTCTATAACTGTATACTTTTGAACTTGAGCGTCCTTTGTGGTAGTGTATCTGCTGAAGTTGAGACTCCCAGGAGATATGAAGGATCTGATTGTGACCACATGGAAATTCAGATTAAAACCATCATGAAAAGGGTGTTGACTTAATAAAGCTTCTTATTCCTGTGGTGTTGCTCCACCCTGACCCACCATGTTCATTCTTCAGAGCTAAGAAGAGAGTGATCTCACTAGAAAACAAGCACTGGGAAACTGAGGCTTTGTGCTCTCAGGAAAGTCAACTCTAATGATATAGAATAGAAGTTTCTAAGTATACAAAGTGGCTATTGCATAGACCCAAGATAACATGAAGTGTGTTTTCTTCAAGATTTAGTATTGCTAATTTTAAGTGTGTGTGTGTGTGTGTGTGTGTGTGTGTGTGTGTGTGTTGTCTTGCACATGGGAATACATCCATCTCAGAGGTTAGAGTTCATATAGACCAGAGGTTAGAGATTCCATTAGAGATGGAGTGATGGGCAGTTATTAGCTCTCATGTATGGGAGCTGGGAGAATTAGAAGGTTGTCTGCATGTGTAGTAAGGATTTTAGAAGCCAAACCACTATTCTAGCCCCACAGCAAGTTGCTTACATAGTGGGGCTGTTGTTCTGTTTCTAAAATATTTGTTTTGTTTATGAAAATTATATGTTTTTGTGTGAGGGTCTGTCTACTCTGGACTTTTATATTGGTTCCTGGGATCTGAACCCATGTGGCTTAATATTTAACCACCAGCCATCTCTCCAGCCACCTAGAGTAATTTAAACCACATTGTTCCTTCCACAGATTAAAGAAATTTTTCAGATGTGAAAGGCTGAAAATCAGCTTCTAGCCTGCGTGGTGAGACAGTGTGCTGACGATCCCATAACCCCACAGATTGGACTGACAGACAATGAAATGACGTCAACAACGTGCACAGCACTCAGAGAGGTGCAGGGAGTGGTGACAGTCATCACAGAGGTGGCTAAACTGTGATGGGCTTGGTGAGTGTGAGGGGGATGATGACAATGGCAGCCTGTGGGCCCACTGAGCTGTAAGGTCTGAGCCGGGGTCTCTAGCGGTCTAGGCCACTGCCTTCTCAGTCACTATGGACACGGAAGAGGAAGGCTTGTGCAGACACCGTACCTCCTTCTCATGAGATGAATCAACAATTCTGTGGCTTAGAGCATCCCCTGAGCCACAGAGCTGGTGTACAGACACTGGCAACCAACTATTCATGTCCTTAACGAATCCTCCTGGGCTGGCACTAGCGTGTCTCGGTTCTTATGCCCTCCTTCATTCAGAAAGGATCAGCTGAAGCGCTTTTCGGTTAGGAATGGAGGTGGATTCCACAGCTGAGGGAAACATGTTGCCATGACTCTGAGGAAGACACCAAAGCCGCCTTCAGAGGACACTACTTCATCCTTTAACCTTCCCATTCTGCTCCTGACTGAGGAGGACAAGATCTCAGTAGCTTCCAGGACTTCCTCTCAGGAAATACCAACAGCTGAGCTCCCCTGGAGTGAGCTGGGAAGTGTTCTTCCCAGTGACACCTCTGAATTTTCTGCTTTAAAGCTGAAAAATAAATTAACCTCAGAATGTTGCTCCCACACTCACTTGGACCACTCTCTCACACTTTCCTCAAAGCTCACAGATGTGGGGCCACCTGAAGATGGCACCTCTGGTTTACATCCTACCTATACCCTCCAACCGCTGCGGACCTAGCATTTGAAAGTCTCTACAAACTGATTACTGAGTGTGCTGGACTGTGGCAGGCGGTGTGTCTAACTTTCTGTCAGGGCTCCCATTTGTCCTGTTTATCTTTAACTTAACTCTATTGAACATCTCTTCTATAATTTACCCTTTTCATAGTTTTTATATTATAGGAGTGCAGGCCAGAGGCGTGGGCACCCTCTGAGGCTAGAACAACGGGCAGTTGTGAGCAGCCTGTGTGGGCGCTCTGCAGGACACCATGGGGTTTTGACCACTGAGACATCACTTCAGTCTCCTGTCCCCTTGAAACCATTCTTATCATGGAAATTTCTGGTTCTACTCTGTAAAACTACACACAAGATGAAAAGATCCTCCACCTGTCAATCACCAGCTCCAATAGTCCCCAGGTAATGTCCACGGGGTTCATCTCTGCCCATCTGCTCTGTGACTCTGATTTTAATGTCAGACTTGAGGTGCCAAACGTTCCATCGCAAACACTTTACCGTGAATATCCAAGTGTAAGTCCTCTTTTTAAAAGCACAGTGTCAGACTTAAAATCAAAATATCATACTATAACCTGCAATAAGCAATTAGTATTTTCTAATGATCAGAATTCAAATTTATATTTCTATATGTCCCTTTTTTGTAACTTTATTCAATTCAAATAAAAAAGTAACCAAATAACTATTTGATTCTCCTCTATCAAAAGCATTGTTGGGGCTGGAGAGATGGCTCAGTGGTTAAGAGGACTGTTTGCTCTTCCAGAAGTCCTGAGTTCAATTCCCAGCAACCATATTGTGGCTCACAACCATCTGTAATGAAATCTGGTGCAATCTTCTGGCATGCGGGCATACATGGAAGCAGAATGTCATATACATAATAAATAAATAAATCTTTTTTTTTAAAAAAGAAAGCATCTTTTAATATGAGTGTGTTCTTTGGTACAGAGCAAAGTAAAATTTTCATTTGTTCAAATCAGTCCATTTCCTTCTTAATACAAAGTGACTATCATTTTTTGTGGGGTTGGTGTTTACATTTTAACAGGAAAGGGGGCATCCTCCACCAGGAGAACTACTTACGGGTTCTTCAACCATTCCAGGCTTAGCCCTGCATTAAGGTCCTGGTGGTGGCTGAGCACATTGGGTATGTTCCCATTATCCCCAGCAGGCATGTAGCGTGTGGCCTGGTTGATCAAGGGGCATACTTAGTGTAAGGGTTGACTGAGGCATAATTATAGTCCTGGCCATTTTAGTCTTGGCAGAGTCATGGGCACCAAGACAACTACCATAACGTAAAACTGTATCCAAATTTCCTTGTGTGGAGCGTCTCAGCTTAGAGAGTATTTAGACTTGTGTTAGGTCCCGTTCCAGAAGAGCAATGCCCAACCTACCTCCACCCCTGCTGCAGCCAGCAGCCACCTGATGCACTCCATCCTGCCCCTGGCATTCCAGTAGTGAAGCACGGGCTTCCCAGCCATGGCTGCAGCTGTGGTTTCACTGTGAATGGAAAAGAAAAGAGATCAATCCAGGGGGACTGCACTCTGGGATATGGTCAGTAATACAGCACTAGGGAAGGGCCGTCTGCCTTCTTTTGCAGGGGCCCAGGAAGGTCTACTGAATAATCTCTCACCCGTCAATGAGTGCCAACCTGCAATTGCAACAAACAGGTCTCAGCTGGTCATGTGCCTTCACTTGGAGGACATAGACAGAGCATCCTGGACCTATAGTGGTGAAGGACTGGGACCCTGTTGAGCTTCAGAAAGCAGAGCCATCATGGAGGGGATGAGACAAAGTCCCTCCCCAGCCTTTTGGTCCCTAGGTTGCTAGTTCAGAAGCTTTTGTAGGCTTCATGTCGCCCTGCCTGTGCTAAACAATTATTCTCCTCACAGGAGAAGGGCCCATCTCCTGGATGCAGGTCTGTTTTCCACCTCTAGACTGGATCCTGTTCTAGGGTCCAGAAGGCGGTAGTTGATGCATCCACTTCATATCACAAGGAGTCACTGCCTTTGGTGCACAGCACATAACGGGCAGTTGCTCATGTGAACTGCATGTAATCACCACCGAGTTTGCTGGTGAGGAGCTGCCCCTGTTTCCATTCTACAGGAGAGATAGATGTGCAGACAGTCACGTGATGAGGAAACCCTGGCCAGTGCAGCTCAGTTCCTGCACAAGGAACCCACGTACTGGGTCCTGCTACTCAGTAGGCTGTAAGTCAACATCATGGCTCATGGGCAGTGTCTTCAACTTGTGATATAATTGGATATTTCAGAGTCTGTATTTTAAAATGGACTCTGCCTGTCTTGTGTGTGTGTTAGTCTGTGTGTGTGAGAGAGTGTATGTGTGTGAATGTGTATGTGAGTGTATGCATTTCTGTGTGTGTGTGTGTGTGTGTGTGTGTGGTGTGTGTGTGTGTGTGTGTGTGTGTGTGTGTAAGTGCCCAAGGCTGAAGTGACTATGTAGGCTAGAAGAAGCACGGCCTCCCTGCCCTCAGGTCACAGCTGCTTCTCTTGGGCACCTGACAGTTTCCTACAGCACTGTATAATGCTCTGTTCTTTTTGTCTTTCTGTTGGCTTTTCTCTGTTTTCTCCGTGAACTCTCCTTTGCCCTGGAGAGTTCAATACTGGAGATTCAGAGGGACTCTGAAATGCTGAGGCTTTCAGATCCCTCCCCATACTGCAGAACCTCTAACATCCCGGTTTTAGAGCTGCACACTGTCTCAGAGTCGGCTGGTCTTCTCCAGATTAGTGATGAATGCTTTGAACCTTAGCATAGGGTTGGCCGTATAACTGCTAAGGGTCAGAGTTTGGGTTTAACCTCGTTCCTCTACAGACTCATTTCTTCCTGCCATGTCTTCCTACAGAATTTTAAACTGTTTCCTTTTGTCCCATTCACTTCCTCATACATACATATATGATCACAGGACATCAGTAGACAGCCTTGGTATAAGGTTTAGCCCACAGTCCTCTGATTTCTCAGGGTTCAATAGTTCAAGATTCATACTTTATGTTTCATTTGCTTTCTTGGGAACACCATATAAAAACAGATTGTTTTGTTTGTAATTAAATAATAAGGTTGGGCAGGGGCTGTTTTGAGACAAAGTTTCTCTTGTCATGAAGTTACCTCTTGTAGACCAGGATGGCTTCAAAATCACAGATATCCACCTGCCTCTGCCTCCCTAGTGCTGGGAATAGAGGTGTACGCTGCCTGGCAATAATAAGATTGTAGTAAAGTAACAAATCCTAAGTGTGAAACCTGCTCGTCTGCTATTTAAACAGAATCATCAAAGCAATCAGAATCCACAGGACACAAAAAATGGGGTAGAAATCCAAACTGGGGAAGGAAGGGCTTTGGGAGGGAGGCCTGGGAGAGTCTGGGTGAATTCAAGTTCTCAAGTGAGAGGAATCTGCACGTTCTCTGTCAGACTGGAACACAGTTCAAGCGAGGAACGTTATTGATCTTAGGTGTGAGAGCACAATCCAAGTCTACTCCTCACTGTCCTAAATCCCATGCGTTTAGATTCCCTTGTAAATACCTTAAATCCCACTCTTTAGCTCAGTGACACTGGAGGAGGAGGAGAAAGAAAGGAACAGAAGAAGGGAAGAATGAAGACCAGGACAGAGGAAATTGGGAAGAAGGAATGGAGGAAGGGAGGGAGGACAGAAAGAGAGGAGCAGCGGAGGAGAAATAGCTTGCTACTCAACATTCAGTAACAAAATAATTCATATGAACCAGAATCAAATGCAGGTAAAGTCAATGGTACTGAGCAGTGAATATGATAAAAGTATATATTTATGTATAAGTATATATATATATATATATATGGAAATACATAATAAAAGTAGCTCTTTTGTACAATTAATGCATGCTAAATAAAACATTAAGAAGCTATTTTCCATTGATGTAGACATGGAACTTATTACACAGGTTATAAGAGAGAGAACTGACCTAGTGAGAGTCCAGACGGCTGCTCTGCTCAGCTCCCCAACTCCTGTTCCAGATGAGTGTGGAAGCACTTTATTAAGGTGACCATTCTCACCAACAGGGTGGGGCTCCACTGCCACTCCTGTGGACTCACACAGAGTTCAAGATTCCAGAGTTTCATGATAGAGTAGAAAGCTGACGAATTAGGGAGGGGCTCACAAGCCACCACCCTCTCCTGAAGATCTAAAGTCCTTCAAGATTTTCATTGGTTTAATGCTCCTGTTTCTCTAAGTGACCTCTCATGCGTGTTCCCGTGAAGAACCCTAATGAAGCACATTGCTCAGGACAGAAGAAACACGGGAGGGAGGACTGAGCTAGAAGCATGAATGATGTCACAGAGTCAACCACGGAACCCTCAGCTATGATAAGTTGCGACTTATATCTACTGAATTTGGGGGAAAGTTTGTGAAGTAGCCTTAAATTACAGAATTAACCCATTGTCTCAACTTCAAGGCTAAGTTGAAGTTCAGGTTACAATGTCCCCTGCTTACTGTATCTGATGAGAATGCTAATGTCCTATAATAGATTATTTGTCTTAACCTTTGTCCTGTTTTAATCTGGAGCAGAAGGGCAGAAAGGAGTTTCACAATTCACCCTTACCTTCACCTGGATGGCCATCAGCACACTGTCCCAGCATGCTCTGGGTCTCTGTGCATCTGTGCATCCCTGCAGTTCCTGCTGTGGGGAAGCTGTCATGTCACCATTAGCAATGGCATTACAAGACAGTGAGAATTACGGTTACCTCCTGCCAAGTTCACACTCAGGGATCTTATCCACATACAAGGGCATCTATCACTGACTTCATTCACAGCCCTGCAAGCTCACTTGGGATTTTAGTTATAATCATTGGTTCATAGATCGCGGGCTATTAATCATTGCATGCTGACCTCGGTGGCTTCAGAGATGCATGTCACTGCCCGAGTCTGCACACCCTCCAGTGTCCAGGGCTGGCCCCTTTGTATCCTGGTGTGCACTGCTAATTTCTCCTCAGCTGTAGAATCCACTCCACTGCTCTACAAACAGCTGGCAAAGCAACAGTGCTGCCCTCCAGGGTGATGCGCATGTGCACAGCACAGGGTCTCATGATTTGTGATTAAAGCCATATATATATATATATATATTTTTTTTTTTGTCCTGGGATGCTTGTCTTTCATCTGTGCCCATAAATAATAACCAATATATTAATGGTGTCCCTCATTTCATGAAGGTTTCTTTTATGTATTTTTAATTTCATAATCATTGTGTGACCTCTTTCCTCTACTTTATCTTTGAGGCTTGCTAAAGTTTCTTCTACTTGAACCATTCTATTTGTAAGATGTTCCCCTGAGTTTTCTATTTGCATCATTAAGATTTAAAATTCTGCCTTCATTTCAGCTTGAACTCTCTTGAATATTCCTATCTCTCTATTGAATGCATTTTTTAAATCCTGGGTTGTCTTCATTATTTCCATCAGTTTTATGTATGTGTTTTCCTGAGCATCACTGAAGCATCTATTCTCTTTAAATTTATTGTGTTTTTTTCTTCTCTAAACACCACCAATTCTGTGGTGAAATCCATAATTTCCATATTAAGAACGTCTGTGATCTGGGGTTATTCTCATTGGAGAACATTTTATAGGACTGGTGGGTTTGCATGGGGAAGATGCTGCCTTCATCTTTCATATTGCTTGTATTGTTTTCCATGGGAACTAGGTGTGTGGGACTCTTTTGTTGGTTCTGTATCTGATGTGGACACAGCAGGTTGGCACAAATCACAGAATGTGTGGGAATGGCACAGAACGGACATTGGATATGGTGTGTGAGGGATGGATCAGGGGATAGTAGATGTTTGTGTGCGGGGGTCTCTACAACCAGCAGAGTAAGAACCCACAGGAGGGAAGAAGGGAGTCTGACCCTGAGTAGTTTATTTGGGGCATACTTAAGCAAAGCACAATTTGGTGAGAAATGTCCTGGTGATAAATTAATCCCCTGGGCAAATAAAGCACAAGACAAGACTACACAAAGACTCTTTGTAAAGTACAAGTGACATTATCCCTAAACATGGGTTCTATAGATTGACAAGCTCATGATATGGGTCATGTAGAGGATCCGGTATGATCTTCATTACACAGATTGCTCAAAGGCCACCAGGCTGTTAACCACAATGTTTCCCAGCCTCCTGGGTGGGAAACAGGGAATGCCTCCCTCTCTTTAAAGGGACAACCCTGTGTGTTTGGCATTCCTGGTTCCCTAGAGCTTATCTGTGAGCATAAGGGCTCTGTGCCTCCCACAGCTGGGGAGGGTCTGACGTGTGTGCAGATGTGCATACTGACCTGAGCTGGAGGTTGATGGCAGTGGAAGTGGAGCTCATCAGAATACACCAGGGCAGTGGTGTGGACCCCAGGCTAGAACTGAGGAAGGGGAGGGTATGCCGAGAGGAGGAACAGAAGGACCCACCGGGCTAGACCTCAACAGAAGATGTTCAGGACAGGACTGGGCCTGGATATTTGATATTGCATGGAAAGGGTGAAGTCATGGGTTCCAGTGAGGACAAGTGTAACATGAAGGGGTCTGCTTGTTGGGGTTTTTGTTCTGCCCAGTTCCCCACAGCCAGCAAGCCCCAAAGAAAATCACACAGAGATCTCCATAAGTCATAAAACTGATTGGCCCATTACCTCAGGCTACTTATTAGCTCTTGTAGCTTATATTAACCTATTACTAATATCTTTGTTAGTCACATGGCTCGGTACCTTTCTCAGTGGGGTAGCTTACATCTTGCTTCTTCTGTGGTCTGGGCAGAATTGCGGAGTGAGCTTCCTACTTCCCAGAATACTCCTGTTCTCATCGCCCTGCCTCTACTTCCTGTCTGGTTGACCCACCTATACTTCCTGCCTGGCCTATCAGCATTTATTTAAAACGTGATTGACAGAAAACAGACAATTTTCCCACACCAGGCAAGGACATAATATTCTTCTGAATTTTTTGAGAGAAGGTATCACCATTCTGTAGCTCTGGCTGTCCTGGAACTCATCATATAGACCAGGCTGGCCTCAAACTCACAGAGGATCCTGTAGTTCTGCCTCATAAGGGCTGGGATTAAAGGCCTGTACCACTCCACTTGACTAAAGACAGAGCTTTTTCAAGGAAATTTTCTGTTATTGTTATTTTTGCTGGAATGTGTGTTTTCCTGTTCTTTTGCTTTTACCATTAAAATAACTTAAATTTTCGTTTTGTGTGTTGAGGTGTTTTGCCTACAGGTATGTATGTGTATCACGGGTGTCCAGTGACCACAGAGGCCAGAGGAGGACATCAGGTTCTCTGGAGCTGGAGTGACAGATGGTAGTGAGATGTCCTGTAGATGCAGTGCCCTAACCTGGGTCCTCGGCAAGAGCAGCTGTGTCTGTCACCTCTTAGCTAGCACTCCGGATTCTTCCTCACTAACTTAAATTTTAATTTTGTTTTCTCTGCTACCTTTTCCTTCTTAAAAAAAACAAAAAACCTTTTACTAGTTACCCAATTTCTGCTTCCCCAACTTACAGTCTTTCTTTTCCTACAACTTTCTTTCTTTCTTTCTCTCTCTTTCTTTCTTTCTTTCTTTCTTTCTTCATTTTTGGACCTTAAATTTTTCTTCTTTATTTTTCCCATTTTTTCTTTTAATTTCTTTATTTTGCACATTAACTTTATTTTTAAACATTTTGGGTAATTCTACAATGTTTTTAGTCAATTCTTTCCTAATATTAGTGTTCTTCTTCTTTAGCTTTTCCTCACTTTTACAAGCTTTGCTTTTATTTGTAGTGATTTTTGTTTGCCTTCTTCTTCCTCAGTGATGTCTGCAATCCCAGCTCAACAGGTTGAAGACATGAGATACACATACCATTTGATGATAATTATTATATCACAAGAACCAGGATGAACAATTGTTCTTTATTATTTAATAACATCAGTGACTGGTGTCTGTGGATTCTAACAATGCAGCTTTACTTAAAGTTGAAAAGCTTCATTGCCTCTTCAATTTTTTTAATGTCAGGCGGAGGTTTTCTCTGGCTGCCAGGCTGCAGGAACTTTTTCACATTGGGCAGGCTGCTGATTCTGCTCTTCAGGGCCTGTAATCCAGAAAACACAGCCTGAGAGTCAGAACAGCTCAAGTACACAGTCCGTAACACATGAGCCCCTCCCCCCCCCCCCCCCCCCCCCGCCAACACGACCAACTGCGTCCATGCAACAGGTCCTGTGTAGACATGAGAAGAACGACAAATCCATGAGCTAGAAACCACAGCTCAGCATAATTTCCTTAAGACCTCCTTTGACATCCAATTGCCTTCTCCAGAGTTCCCTGGACACACACTGAGATGTAGTTTTGTAATACAGAGCACAGAGCCCTGTGTCTCTCAGGTGTGAAAGCAGAAAATAACAAAGCAAAGTGAAGACGTGAAAAACTGAGTTTGAACTGGGGGCAGAAAAGATCAAAGTCTGACCAGGAATAACTTAGTCAGTTTTCACACTGGAGATAAGGATGGTGTCACGCGGGGGGGGGGGGGGGGGGGGGGGGGGGGAGCATGATGGGGACAATGGAGAAGGAGGCACAGTGCAGAGAAGTCAGAGCTGACGAAGGGTCAGCATGACAGAGACCTGCTCCCACAATATGTGTGCAGAGACAGGCCACATAACATGGAAGATGAAGGCCAGAAGCAGTCTGCAAGGAATAGGGGTATGGCAGAAAGCTGTGGGGTCCTGCCTCTTTCTCAATGCAACATATATTCTTGTGGTACCAGCTTCAAATCTCCATTCACAAAAAGTTTATTTTCATGCCTGAAACCAGTGTCTGGTGCTCAGTATGGAGACCAAAGTGTAGGCCCTCAGCAGCCCCCAGGCCACCATTATATTCTCAGAGGCATGTATGTGCGGCTGCCTCTCTGAGGTGATCTCACCTTCAGCAGGGGAAAAGGGGCCAGAAGGCTGGAGTCAAGCTCTTCAACATAGAGGAGAACTTCCAGCAGGTGAATGTCCACCCTGGTCAGCCTGTTACCAACAAGGTAGTCTTGTCCGTGGCTCTTCAAGACCTGCCAAATTAAAGGAGACAGATTATGAAAATACACAGTTGGACTGGGGCCATTACCCGTTCCCAAGTCTCCCAATGGAGTCTCTGACTCTTCCTGGCAGGTATACAACTGCAGACTCGGGCCTATGATGCAAGAGGCACATGAGAGTCAGGCACGCGACCTCCTCGCTAAAGCTCAGGTGACCTTTCTCTGTCATTGCACATACCATGACCTTCACACCGCCACCCTATGTACATTTCCCACATGGGATAAGGGCTTAGCCCCTTGCACATCATGGCTCCTCCCCTAAGTTTGAGCACCGGAAGTTCAGGATATTCGTCTCCCTGTCTTGTCTGTTCAGACCCGTGGGCAGAGGCCTCATCTGCAGGGAACATCAGTCACCAGAGAACGCCCTGTGTCTGTCCTCTCCTGTGTCTGCTCTCCTCAGTTCTCTGGAATCTGAAGTACACCTGGCTGAGCTACAATACATCCTCCCTGTACAGCATCGGCTCTGACTCCCAACCTTCACTTTATCATGACTGACTGAGCTGAATTGTACAGGGGAAACTGAGTCGGAGTCTCAGTATCTTTGTAAGGACAGACAAGCATGCCAACACCAAATGGGACTAATCTTCCTATCTGATTTTGGCTATTTATTTAACATTTCTGGTTGTGAGAAGATTTAATAATAGAACTGTCTTAGTTGCAGTTTATGACATTTACTTAAATATCCCAGCAATATGAAAATCACAGATATCCTAAAGGACAAGCACTGGCTACAGCATGAGCTACAAGTAGAGAAGAATTAAAATGCTTTTTGGTCACCTTATCACACTGTAAATGTCTACAGAGAAAAAAAATATAATGACCACAGTCAGAAACAAAGCCAGGCATAGTGGCACACACATTTAATTCCAGCACTCAAGATGCTGAGGCAGGTGGATTTCTGGGAGCTTGAGGCCAGTCCACAGAAGAGTTCCAATAGAGCCAGTGCTACGAAATACAGAAATCCTGTTGTAAAGAAAAGAAAAAGAAGGAAAGAAAAAAAACAATAAACTAGAAAAGGAAGCATCGAACGTTCTCAGTAGAGTTTACTGTGTTCCTGAAAATCATGATTCACACACCAGAGATGATTCAAGCTGTGAGAGCTTGACATTGTGTCCTGTGAGACAGGGTCTTCACTCCAGAGGTCTCTGTGGGGACCTGATGGCTCCTAAATCCCTCACTGCTTCCACAGAGCAGAGGCAGCTGTGAGGGAACGTTCAGTGAATTATAATGGGGTCAATGTCGGGTCTCTGAGGAATGTGTAGGATCCCTAATCCTGTAGAATCAGAGCTTTGTTCTTAGCTTTACTTGACAGAAGATCAAATCTGTCTGAAGTGTTCTTGACCATCCTCCAAAGAGAAGCCCTGACTAAGAGAGACAACACATGTACACGAACACCCCTTCATGTGTGGATGTGCATAGCTCTCCTCCCAAGCCTGACATCTGTGACCCTAACTCCTGCAGGCCAGTGTTCCTTTACATCCCTTCATCAGCCTCCTCCTCTGCCTACATCACTGTCCTAGGTCAGGTTCTTCTCCTCTGTCTTTGAAACTCTCTCCTCTTCTCCTGACAGCCAGTGGCTCTCTGGGCCCCCTGTGTGATGTGACAGAGTATTTTCCCATCTGTGTTTTTCTGCAGTTTGCCCTGGAATTGAAGTCCAGTGTGTCTGCAGGATCTATGTCCATCTCTGGTGTGGCTCAGCCTTCCACAGGTCAGGTCTGGTTATGACCTTGAACCCTGTTGAATGTGGACCACTAGGTTGGCGTGACCATGCAGTGCCCCTTCACAGGCCATTTTTATACAGCGTCCTGTGAGCAGGGAGCTGCACAGGGAGGCTCATGGAAGGTCAGTGAGGCAGCACCCTGTCCTTCCCAACCTCTGTGTTTCTCTTGTCCTGGGAACTCAGTGTACCCAGCCAGACTTCAAACAGCCTACTTACTTTTTCATAGGCAGGCAAGTACCGGTTTTTGGTCTTGTCTTTTATCAAGGAGATCTTGGCTTCTCTTTGGTCTGGTGGACATATGACCACTTGCAGCATCATTTCAGTGAGATCTAAAATACCCTCTGTATACATGTCGATCCTGAAAGACAAAATTTTCCATATGGTCAATGGTTTTCAGGGATTCACTATTTTATATTTTAATCTAAATATCTGAGAAATTTACACTGAAACTAGTTGCAAATTTCCTCACTTTTAACCAGTCATTATCTTTTCTGTTTAATAGATATATTAACTTTCCCTCTGGTACAGCTCTGATACACTTTTAGAATTTTTCAAACCCACACATTGCCAAACCCAAGGACAAAGAGCATCACTGATCACTGGTCCTTCTACAGATTCAGTCGTGATATACTTGGTGGCGTCCGGAAGATAGCCATCAAATTCTACAGAGGGCACTCAGTCTCTCTCTCTCTCTCTCTCTCTCTCTCTCTCTCTCTCTCTCTCTCTGTGTGTGTGTGTGTGTGTGTGTGTGTGTGTGTTTGTCTCTCTCTATGTCTCTCTCTGTCTCTCTCTCTATTTGACGTGATTTGTTCTCAAAGACTAAGCATAGATTCTTAGAGCAAACAAGCTATCTCCCAGATAAGCTCAAAACAGAACACTTCCTGAGCGCCAGCTGCATCTCGGAACATCTCTCATTCTGCTCAGGGGCATCTAGGTCAGTGTTGGATGTTCTCCACCCGTTTGTCACAACAACTCACACTGCAGGTGCATTCTGGCCTTGCAAACATTTGTCAAGACGTGCCTATTTCTTCACTCATTTCAACCACAGCACACAGACACAGAGACACATGCATCCCTTCTTCAAAACTGTATTTCACAAGGTGCTTTGGGGAGAGTTCAATGTCACACTTCCATACACTTCCGGTGTTGACCCTGCAAAGGTAGTATTCTGTGTTCCAGTGCATCTATTGCATTCTAAGACTGCTGACATCCTCCTATGTTAGCAGAGTCTGATCCTCACTCCCTCTGACCCCAATCCTGCCACTGTGGCAGCTGCTGCAGGAGGACTTATCTGCTTCCTCCTTATCCAGGGGAAGTTCGGGTACATTTCATATTACCAGAGCCAGGAACATGTGCCCTGGAATCGGCTCACTAAACATTATGCAATGTTTATTCTTGACCTCTATATTGCTTCCTTCACCCCTTCATGTATGTTCACGGCTAAAATCATATACTGTGCTCCTCTTTCATTTTTACTGAATATCATGGCTGATTCCACCATGAGAAAATTATAAATAATGCTGCTAGGAGTATATCTATACACACACTGTTACAGCCCAGTTTCTATTTCCCATTGACAAATCTTTTCTGCACTGGGATTCCTGCCTACCATCATGTTTAACTTTTGATCAACAGCAATATTCCTACACAATGGTTCAGGAGTGAAGGATTCATGGCTCCCCTATGCTCAGATCTTGGCCACCGTGTTTGCAATTCTGTCCCTGTGCTGTGCTGACAACATCATCCTCGGCTGTAGCCACACTCACCTGCATCCACCCCATGTGCCCTTCCCTCTCCTCCATGGACTCTTCCTTACTTGGCCTAAGTGGTATAACTAGCCTGCTCCTAGACATAAACCCTGCCACCCTCTTGCACTTTCATGGAGGGACCCAAATCCTTCCTTTGTTTCCCCTTGGAGTAATAACAGGAAATATACCGTACAGGACTCTCTCCTTCGCGTCCTTCCCATAGAGGTTGTATTTGGTGGCAATGTAGTTGAGAATGGCTCTGGTCTGTACCAGCTTCATCCCATCAATCTCCACCATGGGTATTTGCTGAAACATCAAACTCCCGTCTGTGAAAGAAGAAAGGAAAAGGTCTCTGAGGTTTTTCAAGTCTCACTTCTCAGGAGCACAAAACATGTATTGAAGTGTCTGATCACGCAAAGGAAAGATAATTGATTGGCTCTCAGTTTTTCAAGCTAAATCCCATTTACTTTAAGTTTCTGTTTCCTCACACATATCCTTGGGCTTTGGAGCTTCTCACATCCATTTTTATTTCCTATCCGGACACATATTATATTTCTAGTACATGTTTTCATGTCAGTTCATGTCCCTGGATACATATGGAAGATAAGGAGCGACAGCAGAGGCCCCCATGAAAGCAGAACTAGTCCTTGACAATCTCATCATCGTCATGACATTAAGGTGATGTGTGACATTTTCTTACGCAGTTAGCCACCATGAGTTCCTCCAGCCTGTTCTTGTGTGGTGATAGTGACTCGTCAGTAGCTATGTTGGAAACGCTCAAGACAATCATCCCAGCTGTTTTTCCTCCTGTGATTTAATCAATGGCCACGTACCTGTGTGGTTATTGGACCTTGTGTGTGGAACCCTGCCTGAATAAGTCAGTGAGAGAGAGCTTGAATAAAATTGCTCACTCTGATGCAGAAAAAGTGAGAAAACATTTATTCCCAAGTCCCCAGACAAATTCTTGTAGAAATCTTCATTCCACTTTTATCACTGTCTCCATTTTCAGACCCTTCAAGGAGCCCCACCACCTCCATCACATCCCTCTGCCGTTCCTGACTGTTCCCACCCATCACCCGCCAACATCACCCGGCAACATTACTTTCTGGTAAACCTTCTAATAGGCACCACATGGAGGACACTTGGTGTTACCTTTGATTAACTTTTCCATCTCTGCTGGGGTTTCTATAAACTTCTCTTCAAACTGAAAGCAGAAAAAGTAAATGCATTCTCATTAGCTCGTTCTGTATCACTGTAGAATTTTGAAATTGAAAGCTCCCTTGTTGGTATTGTGTCTGCCTGAGTTGAGACTTGCAGTAGATATGAAGGATCTGATCGTGACCACATGGAAATTCAGAGTAAACCCATCAAGCAAAGGTGTCCATCATTACACGCTGCTCATTACTGTAGTGTTCCTCCAACCTGACCCACCATGTTCATGCTTCAGTCCTAAGAAGAGAGTGATCTCACTAGCGGACCAGCACTGGGAGATTGAGGTTTTGGGCTCTCAGGAAAGCCAACTCTAGTGAATATAGAATAGAAGTTTCTATGTCTTCATCATGGCCTTTCATAGTCCCCATGATCACCTGAGGTATTTTTTTCTTTAAGATTTAGTATTGCTAATTTTAAGTGTGTGTGTGTGTGTGTGTGTGTGTGTGTGTGTGTGTGTGTGTGTAGTCTTGTATTTGGGAATACATGCATCTCGGAAGTGAGAGTGCATAGAGGACAGAGAATAGAGATTCCATTAGAGATGGTGTGACGGGCAGTTATTAGCTCTCATGTATGGGAGCTGGGAGAATTAGAAGGTTGTCTGCATGTGCAGTAAGGATTTTAGAAGCCAAACCACTACTCTAGCCCCACAGCAAGTTGCTTACATTGTGGGGCTGTTATTCTGTTTTAAAAATACTTATTTGTTTTGCTTATGAAAATTACATGCTTGTGTGTCAGGGTACACCTACCCAATGACGGTCTATTCTGGACTTTTATATTGGTTCCTGGGATCTGAACCCGTGTGGCTTAATCTTTAACCACCAGCCATCTCTCCAGCCATCTAGAGTAATTTAAACCACTTTGTTCCTTCCACAGATTAAAGAAATTTTTCAGATGTGAAAGGCTGAAAATCAGCTTCTAGCCTGCGTGGTGAGACAGTGTGCTGACGATCCCATAACCCCACAGATTGGACTGACAGACAATGAAATGACGTCAACAACGTGCACAGCACTCAGAGAGGTGCAGGGAGTGGTGACAGTCATCACAGAGGTGGCTGAACTGTGAGAGGCTTGATGGGTGTGAGGGGGATGATGACAATGGCAGCCTGTGGGCACACTGAGCTGTAAGGACTGAGCCAGGGTCTCTAGCTGTCTCAGTCCACTGCCTTCTCAGTCACTATGGACACGGAAGAGGAAGGCTTGTGCAGACACCGTACCTCCTTCTCATGAGATGAATCAACAGTTCTGTGGCTTAGAGCATCCCCTGAGCCACAGAGCTGGTGTACAGACACTGGCAACCAACTATTCATGTACTTAACGAATCCTCCTGGGTTGGCACTAGCGTGTCTCGGTTCTTATGCCCTCCTTCATTCAGAAAGGATCAGCTGAAGCCCTGTTCGGTTAGGATTGGAGGTGGATTCAACAGCAGAGGGAAACACGTTGCCATGACTCTGAGGAAGACACCAAAGCCGCCAACACAGGACACTACTTCATCATTTAACCTTCCCATTCTGCTCCTGACTGAGGAGGACAAGATCTCAGTAGCTTCCAGGACTTCCTCTCAGGAAATAAAAATTGGTGAGCTCCCCTGGAGTGAGCTGGGAAGTGTTCTTCCCAGTGACACCTCTGAATTTTCTGCTTTAAAGCTGAAAAATAAATTAACCTCAGAATGTTGCTTCCACACTCACTTGGACCACTCTCTCACACTTTCCTCAAAGCTCACAGACGTGGGGCCACCTGAAGATGGCACCTCTGGTTTACATCCTACCTATACCCTCCAACCGCTGCGGACCTAGCATTTGAAAGTCTCTACAAACTGATTACTGAGTGTGCTGGACTGTGGCAGGAGGTGTGTCTGTCTCCTGTGTCAGGGCTCCCATTTGTCCTGTTTATCTTTAACTTAACTCCATTGAACATCTCTTGTATAATTTACCCTTTTCATAGTTTTTATATTATAGGAGTGCAGGCCAGAGGCGTGGGCACCCTCTGAGGCTAGAACAACGGGCAGTTGTGAGCAGCCTGTGTGGGCGCTCTGCAGGACACCATGGGGTTTTGACCACTGAGCCATCACTTCAGTCTCCTGTCCCCTTGAAACCATTCTTACCATGGAAATTTCTGGTTCTACTCTGTAAAACTACACACAAGATGAAAAGATCCTCCACCTGTCAATCACCAGGTCCAATAGTCCCCAGGTAATGTCCACCGGGTTCATTTCAGCCCAACTTCTCTGTGACTCTGATTTTAATGTCAGACTTGAGGTGCCAAACGTTCCATCACGAATACTTTACCGTGAATATCCAAGTGTAAGTACTCTTTTTGAAAGCACAGTGTCAGACTTAAAATCAAAATATCATACCATAACATGCAATAAGCAATTAGTATCGTCTAATGATCAGAATTCAAATTTATATTTCTATATGTCCCTATTTTGTAACTTTATTCAATTCAAATAAAAAAGTAACCAAATAACTATTTGATTCTCCTCTATCAGAAGCATTGTTGGGGCTGGAGAGATGGCTCAGTGGTTAAGAGCACTGGTTGCTCTTCCAGAGGTCCTGAGTTCAATTCCCAGCAACATTATTGTGGCTCACAACCATCTGTAATGTAATCTTGTGCAATCTTCTGGCATGCGGGCATACATGGAGGCAGAATGTCATACACATAATAAATAAATAAATCTTTTTTTAAAAAAAAAAGAAAGCATCTTTTAATATGAGTGTGTTCTTTGGTACAGAGCAAAGTAAAATTTTCATTTGTTCAAATCAGTCCATTTCCTTCTTAATACAAGATGACTATCATTTTTTTGTGGGGTTGGTGTTCACGTTTTAACAGGAAAGGGGGCATCTTCCACCAGGAGATCTACTTACGGGTTCTTCAACCATTCCAGGCTTAGCCCTGCATTAAGGTCCTGGTGGTGGCTGAGCACATTGGGTATGTTCCCATTATCCCCCACAGGCATGTAGCGTGTGGCCTGGTTGATCAAGGGGCATACTTAGTGTAAGGGTTGACTGAGGCATAATTATAGTTCTAACCATCTTGGTCTTGGCAGAGTCGTGGGCACCAAGAACACTACCATAACGTAAAACTGTATCCAAATTTCCTTGTGTGGAGCCTTTCAGCTTAGAGAAGTATTTAGACTTATCTTAGGTCCTGGCACAGAAGAGCAATGCACAACCTACCTCCACCCCTGCTGCAGCCAGGAGCCACCTGATGCACTCCATCCTGCCCCGGCCATTGAAGTAGTGAAGCACGGGCTTCCCAGCCATGGCTGCAGCTGTGGTTTCACTGTGAATGGAAAGCAAAGAGATCAATCCTGGGAGATTGCGCTCGGGGATATGGTCAGTAATACAGCACTAGGGAAGGGCCGTCTGCCTTCTTTTGCAGGGGCCCAGGAAGGTCTACTGACTAATCTCTCACCCGTCAATGAGTGCCAACCTGCAATTGCAACAAACAGGTCTCAGCTGGTCATGTGCCTTCACTTTGAGGACATAGACAGAGCATCCTGGACCTATAGTGGTGAAGGACTGGGACCCTGTTGAGCTTCAGAAAGCAGAGCCATCATGGAGGGGATGAGACAAAGTCCCTCCCCAGCCTTTTGGTCCCTAGGTTGCTAGTTCAGAAGCTTTTGAAGGCTTCATGTCGCCCTGCCTGTGCTAAACACTTATTCTTCCCACAGGAGAAGGGCCCATCTCCTGGATGCAGGTCTGTTTTCCACCTCTAGACTGGATCCTGTTCTAGGGTCCAGAAGGCGGTAGTTGATGCATCCACTTCATACCTCAGGGAGTCACTGCCTTTGGTGCACAGCACATAACGGGCAGTTGCTCATGTGAACTGCATGTAATCACCACAGAGTTTGCAGGTGAGGAGCTGCCCCTGTTTCCATTCTACAGGAGAGATAGATGTGCAGACAGTCACGTGATGAGGAAACCCTGGCCAGTGCAGCTCAGTTCCTGCACAAGGAACCCACATACTGGGTCCTGCTACTCAGTAGGCTGTAAGTCAACATCATGGCTCATGGACAGTGTCTTCAACTTGTGATATAATTGGATATTTCAGAGTCTGTATTTTAAAATGGACTCTGCCTGTCTGTGTGTGTGTGTTAGTCTATGTGTGTGAGAGAGTGGATGTGTGTGTGAGTGTATGCATTTCTGTGTGTGTGTGTGTGTGTGTGTGTGTGTGTGTGTGTGTGTGGTGTGTGTTTGTGTGTGTGGGTGTGTGTGTGTGTGTAAGTGCCCAAGGCTGAAGTGACCTTGTAGGCTAGAAGAAGCACAGCCTCCCTGCCCTCAGGTCACAGCTGCTTCTCTTGGGCACCTGACAGTTTCCTACAGCACTGTATAATGCTCTGTTCTTTTTGTCTTTCTGTTGGCTTTTCTCTGTTTTCTCCGTGAACTCTCCTTTGCCCTGGAGAGTTCAATACTGGGGATTCAGAGGGACTCTGAAATGCTGAGGCTTTCAGATCCCTCCCCATACTGCAGAACCTTTAACCTCCCGGTTTTAGAGGGGTACACTGTCTCAGAGTCGGCTGGTCTTCTCCAGATTAGTGATGAATGCTTTGAACCTTAGCAAGGGTTGGCCGTATAACTGCTAAGGGTCAGAGTTTGGGTTTAACCTCGTTCCTCTACAGACTCATTTCTTCCTGCCATGTCTTCCTACAGAATTTTAAACTGTTTTCTTTTGTCCCATTCATTTCCTCATACATACATTTGTGATCACAGGACATCAGTAGACATCCTTCTGCTTGGTATAAGGTTTAGCCCACAGTCCTCTGATTTCTCAGGGTTCAATAGTTCAAGATTCATACTTTATGTTTCATTTGCTTTCTTGGGAACACCATATAAAAACAGATTGTTTTGTTTGTAATTAAATAATAAGGTTGGGCGGGGGCTGTTTTGAGACAAAGTTTCTCTTGTCATGAAGCTAGCTTATGTAGACCAGGATGGCTTCAAAATCACAGATATCCACCTGCCTCTGCCTCCCTAGTGCTGGGAATAGAGGTGTACGCTGCCTGGCAATAATAAGATTGTAATAAAGTAACAAATCCTAAGTGTGAAACCTGCTAGTCTGCTATTTAAACAGAATCATCAAAGCAATCAGAATCCACAGGACACAAACAAATGGGGTAGAAATCCAAACTGGGGAAGGAAGGGCTTTGGGAGGGAGGCCTGGGAGAGTCTGGGTGAATTCAAGTTCTCAAGTGAGAGGAATCTGCACGTTCTCTGTGAGACTGGAACACAGTTCAAGAGAAGAACGTTATTGCTCTCTGGTGTGTGAGCACAATCCAGGTCTACTCCCCCCTGTCCTAAATCCCATGCGTTTAGATTCCCTTTTAAATACCTTAAATGCCACCCTCAGCTCAGTGACACTGGAGGAGGAGGAGAAAGAAAGGAACAGAAGAAGGGAAGAATGAAGACCAGGACAGAGGAAATTGGGATTAAGGAATGGAGGAAGGGAAGGAGGACAGAAAGAGAGAAGAAACAGAGGAAGAGAGATAGCTTGCTAGCTACTCAACATTCAGTAACAAAATAATTCATATGAACCAGAATCAAATGTAGGTAAAGTCAATGGTACTGAGCAGTGAATATGATAAAAGTATATATTTATGTATATGTATATATATGGAAATTACGTAATAAAAGTAGCTCTTTTGTACAATTAATGCATGCTAAATAAAACATTGAAAAGCTATTTTCCATTGATGTAGACACGGAACTTATTTCACAGGTTATAAGAGAGAGAACTGACCTAGTGAGAGTCCAGACGGCTGCTCTGCTCAGCTCCCCAACTCCTGTTCCAGATGAGTGTGGAAGCACTTTAATAAGGTGAGCATTCTCACCAGCAGGGTGGGGCCCCACTGCCACTCCTGTGGACTCACACAGAGTTCAAGATTCCAGAGTTTCATGATAGAGTAGAAAGCTGACGAATCAGGGAGGGGCTCACAAGCCACCACCCTCTCCTGAAAGTCCTTTAAAGTTTTCATTGGTTTAATGCTCCTGTGTCTCTAAGTGACCTCTCATGCGTGTTCCTGTGAAGAACCCTAATGAAGCACATTGCTCAGGACAGAAGAAACACGGGAGGGAGGACTGAGCTAGAAGCATGAATGACGTCACAGAGTCAACCACGGAACCCTCAGCTATAAGATGCGACTTATATCTACTGAATTTGGGGCAAAGTTTGTGAAGTAGCCTTAAATTACAGAATTAACACATTGCCTCAACTTCAAGGCTAAGTTGAAGTTCAGGTTACAATGTCCCCTGCTTACTGTATCTGATGAGAATGCTAATGTCCTATAATAGGTTATTTGTCTTAACCTTTGTCCTGTTTAATCTGGAGCAGAAGGGCAGAAAGGAGTTTCACAATTCACCCTTACCTTCACCTGGATGGCCATCAGCACACTGTCCCAGCATGCTCTGGGTCTCTGTGCATCTGTGCATCCCTGCAGTCCCTGCTGTGGGGAAGCTGTCATGTCACCATTAGCAATGGCATTACAAGACAGTGAGAATTACGGTTAATTCCTGCCAAGTTCACACTCAGGGATCTTATCCACATACAAGGGCATCTATCACTGAGTTCATTCACAGCCCTGCAAGTTCACTTGTGATTTTTTATAATCAATGGTCCATATGTCTCGGGCTATTAATCATTATCTGCTGACCTCGGTGGCTTCACAGATCGTGTCACTGCCTGAGTCTGCACACCCTCCAGTGTCCAGGGCTGTCCCCTTTGTATCCTGGTGTGCACTGCTAATTTCTCCTCAGCTGTAGAATCCACTCCACCGCTCTACAAACAGCTGGCAAAGCAGCAGTGCTGCCCTCCAGGGTGATGCGCATGTGCACGGCACAAGGTCTCATGATTTATTATTAAAGATGCTTATCTTTCATCTGTGCCCATAAATAATAGCCAATATATTAATGGTGTCCCTCATTTCATGAAGGTTTCTTTTATGTATTTTTAATTTCATAATCATTGTGTGACCTCTTTCCTCTACTTTATCTTTGAGGCTTGCTAAATTTTCTTCTACTTGAACCTTTTATTTGTAAGATGTTCCCCTGAGTTTTCTATTTGCATCATTAAGATTTAAAATTCTGCCTTCATTTCAGCTTGAACTCTCTTGAATATTCCTATCTCTCTATTGAATGCATTTTTTTAAATCCTGGGTTGTCTTCATTATTTCCATCAGTTTTATGTATGTGTTTTCCTGAGTATCACTGAAGCATCTATTCTCTTTAAATTTATTGTGTTTTTTTCTTCTCTAAACACCACCAATTCTGTGGTGAAATCCATAATTTCCATATTAAGAACGTCTGTGATCTGGGGTTATTCTCATTGGAGAACATTTTATAGGACTGGTGGGTTTGCATGGGGAAGATGCTGCCTTCATCTTTCATATTGCTTGTATTGTTTTCCATGGGAACTAGGTGTGTGGGACTCTTTTGTTGGTTCTGTATCTGATGTGGACACAGCAGGTTGGCACAAATCACAGAATGTGTGGGAATGGCACAGAACGGACATTGGATATGGTGTGTGAGGGATGGATCAGGGGATAGTAGATGTTTGTGTGCGGGGGTCTCTACAACCACCACAGCAGGCAGAGTAAGAACCCACGGGAGGGAAGAAGGGAGTCTGACCCTGAGTAGTTTATTTGGGGCATACTTAAGCAAAGCACAATTTGGTGAGAAATGTCCTGGTGATAAATTAATCCCCTGGGCAAATAAAGCACAAGACAAGACTACACAAAGACTCTTTGTAAAGTACAAGTGACATTATCCCTAAACATGAGTTCTATAGATTGACAAGCTCATGATATGGGTCATGTAGAGGATCCGGTATGATCTTCATTACACAGATTGCTCAAAGGCCACTAGGCTGTTAACCCCCTTGTTTCCCGGCCTCCTAGGTGGGAAACAGGGAATGCCTCCCTCTCTTTGAAGGGACAAGCCTGTGTGTTTGGCATTCCTGGTTCCCTAGAGCTTATCTGTGAGCACAAGGGCTCTGTGCCTCCCACAGCTGAAAAGGGTCTGACATGTGTGCAGATGTGCATACTGACCTGAGCTGGAGGTTGATGGCAGTGGAAGTGGAGCTCATCAGAATACACAAGGGCAGTTGTGTAGAGCCCAGGCTAGACCTGAGGAAGGGGAGGGTATGCCGAGAGGAGGAACAGAAGGACCCACCAGGCTAGACCTCAACAGAAGATGTTCAGGACAGGACTGGGCCTGGATATTTGATATTGCATGGAAAGGGTGAAGTCAGGGGTTCCAGTGAGGACAAGTGTAACATGAAGGGGTCTGCTTGTTGGGGTTTTTGTTCTGCCCAGTTCCCCACAGCCAGCAAGCCCCAAAGAAAATCACACAGAGATCTCCATAAGTCATAAAACTGATTGGCCCCTTACCTCAGGCTACTTATTAGCTCTTGTAGCTTATATTAACCTATTACTAATATCTTTGTTAGTCACATGGCTCGGTACCTTTCTCAGCGGGGTAGCTTACATCTTGCTTCTTCCGTGGTCTGGGCAGAATTGCGGAGTGAGCTTCCTACTTCCCAGAATACTCCTGTTCTCATCGCCCTGCCTCTACTTCCTGTCTGGTTGACCCACCTATACTTCCTGCCTGGCCTATCAGCATTTATTTAAAACGTGGTTGACAGAAAACAGACAATTTTCCCACACCAGGCAAGGACATAATATTCTTCTGAATTTTTTGAGAGAAGGTATCACCATTCTGTAGCTCTGGCTGTCCTGGAACTCATCATATAGACCAGGCTGGCCTCAAACTCACAGAGGATCCTGTAGTTCTGCCTCATAAGGGCTGGGATTAAAGGCCTGTACCACTCCACTTGACTAAAGACAGAGCTTTTTCAAGGAAATTTTCTGTTATTGTTATTTTTGCTGGAATGTGTGTTTTCCTGTTCTTTTGCTTTTACCATTAAAATAACTTAAATTTTCGTTTTGTGTGTTGAGGTGTTTTGCCTACAGGTATGTATGTGTATCACGGGTGTCCAGTGACCACAGAGGCCAGAGGAGGACATCAGGTTCTCTGGAGCTGGAGTGACAGATGGTAGTGAGATGTCCTGTAGATGCAGTGCCCTAACCTGGGTCCTCGGCAAGAGCAGCTGTGTCTGTCACCTCTTAGCTAGCACTCCGGATTCTTCCTCACTAACTTAAATTTTAATTTTGTTTTCTCTGCTACCTTTTCCTTCTTAAAAAAAACAAAAAACCTTTTACTAGTTACCCAATTTCTGCTTCCCCAACTTACAGTCTTTCTTTTCCTACAACTTTCTTTCTTTCTTTCTCTCTCTCTCTCTCTTTCTTTCTTTCTTTCTTTCTTTCTTTCTTCATTTTTGGACCTTAAATTTTTCTTCTTTATTTTTCCCATTTTTTCTTTTAATTTCTTTATTTTGCACATTAACTTTATTTTTAAACATTTTGGGTAATTCTACAATGTTTTTAGTCAATTCTTTCCTAATATTAGTGTTCTTCTTCTTTAGCTTTTCCTCACTTTTACAAGCCTTGCTTTTATTTGTAGTGATTTTTGTTTGCCTTCTTCTTCCTCAGTGATGTCTGCAATCCCAGCTCAACAGGTTGAAGACATGAGATACACATACCATTTGATGATAATTATTATATCACAAGAACCAGGATGAACAATTGTTCTTTATTATTTAATAACATCAGTGACTGGTGTCTGTGGATTCTAACAATGCAGCTTTACTTAAAGTTGAAAAGCTTCATTGCCTCTTCAATTTTTTTAACGTCAGGCGGAGGTTTTCTCTGGCTGCCAGGCTGCAGGAACTTTTTCACATTGGGCAGGCTGCTGATTCTGCTCTTCAGGGCCTGTAATCCAGAAAACACAGCCTGAGAGTCAGAACAGCTCAAGTACACAGTCCGTAACACATGAGCCCCCCCCCCCCCCGCCAACACGACCAACTGCGTCCATGCAACAGGTCCTGTGTAGACATGAGAAGAACGACAAATCCATGAGCTAGAAACCACAGCTCAGCATAATTTCCTTAAGACCTCCTTTGACATCCAATTGCCTTCTCCAGAGTTCCCTGGACACACACTGAGATGTAGTTTTGTAATACAGAGCACAGAGCCCTGTGTCTCTCGGGTGTGAAAGCAGAAAATAACAAAGCAAAGTGAAGACGTGAAAAACTGAGTTTGAACTGGGGGCAGAAAAGATCAAAGTCTGACCAGGAATAACTTAGTTTTCACACTGGAGATAAGGATGGTGTCACGCGGGGGGAGGGTGAGGGGGAGCATGATGGGGACAATGGAGAAGGAGGCACAGTGCAGAGAAGTCAGAGCTGACGAAGGGTCAGCATGACAGAGACCTGCTCCCACAATATGTGTGCAGAGACAGGCCACATAACATGGAAGATGAAGGCCAGAAACAGTCTGCAAGGAATAGGGGTATGGCAGAAAGCTGTGGGGTCCTGCCTCTTTCTCAATGCAACATATATTCTTGTGGTACCAGCTTCAAATCTCCATTCACAAAAAGTTTATTTTCATGCCTGAAACCAGTGTCTGGTGCTCAGTATGGAGACCAAAGTGTAGGCCCTCAGCAGCCCCCAGGCCACCATTATATTCTCAGAGGCATGTATGTGCGGCTGCCTCTCTGAGGTGATCTCACCTTCAGCAGGGGAAAAGGGGCCAGAAGGCTGGAGTCAAGCTCTTCAACATAGAGGAGAACTTCCAGCAGGTGAATGTCCACCCTGGTCAGCCTGTTACCAACAAGGTAGTCTTGTCCGTGGCTCTTCAAGACCTGCCAAATTAAAGGAGACAGATTATGAAAATACACAGTTGGGCTGGGGCCATTACCCGTTCCCAAGTCTCCCAATGGAGTCTCTGACTCTTCCTGGCAGGTATACAACTGCAGACTC